ACCGAAATCGCGAAGCCGTTGTTTGAGTTGATAAAGAAGAACGCGAAGTTCGAGTGGACAGAAGAACACGGAAGAGCAACAGAAGAACTAAAAAAGGCACTGACAGAAGCACCAGTACTCGCATGCCCAGATTTCACAAAGACATTCATATTGCAAACAGATGCAAGCAACTGCGGCTTAGGGGCAGTACTCACGCAAGAAGACGACGACGGAGAACACGTCATCTCATATGCGAGCCGCAAACTAAGGAAGGAGGAAATGAACTACTCAGCAACAGAAAAAGAATGCCTCGCGATACACTGGGGTATACACAAGATGAGGATACCACTTCGTGGTAATAACGGATCACCTGGCGTTAAAGTGGCTGAACTCCATAGAGAGTCCGTCAGGACGGGTGGCGAGATGGGCACTGGCACTACAACCATACTCATTCGAGGTACGATATCGGAAGGGTAAACTCAATGTAGTAGCCGATACACTGTCAAGACAACCTACCGAAGGGGCACAAAGTGCCGAGATAGCGGAAGACAAATGGATTAGAGAAAAACGAATAGACATTGAGAAGAATCCGAGTCGGTGGCCAGACTACTGTGTCGAAAACAACAAATTATATAGACACCTACCGTCATGGGCAGCAGACGAAGACATACAACCCTGGAAACTCTGCGTAGGCAAACACCAACGAGCGAGGGTATTGGAAGAAAACCACAAAACAGCAACGGCAGGACACCTGGGAGTAAGAAAGACCAAGCACAGGATTGCTACGCGATACTACTGGCCAGGAATGCATCGGGAAGTCAAGAATTATATCGACCGATGCACGACATGTCAACAGTACAAGGTGTCACAACAGCAGGCGTCCGGAAGAATGCTCACACGGATAGCGGAGGCACCGGGCGAAACACTATGCGTCGATTTCGTGGGCCCATTACCTAGATCAAGTCACGGCAACAATATGCTACTAGTATTCATTGACAAGTTCTCAAAATGGGTAGAGCTGACAGCAATACGGAAAGCGACCACAGACGCAGTCCTCAAAACGTTCCGAGAGAAAATACTGGCACGCACCGGGGCTCCAAAGGTGTTAATCTCAGATAACGGAGTGCAGTTCACAAGCCACAAATTCAGAATGCAGATGTCAAAGTGGGGAGTACACCAGCAATTCACGGCTCCATATACACCGCAAGAAAACCCGACAGAACGTGCGAACCGAACAATAAAAACCATGATCGCACAGTTCGCGGGAGAAAGGCACGACCGATGGGACGATGTACTACCGGAGCTGACACTAGCATTTAACAGCAGCCGGTCGGAGTCAACTGGATACAGCCCGGCATACCTCACATACGGGAGAGAACCGAGGCTGGCGGGAAGTCTGTTCGATGAAGCGACAAAAGGCTCAGCGATAAACGAGGAGACCATGGAAGAAAGAATAGCACGAATCAAGGAAACATGTGAGCTAGCAAGAAAGAACATGGAAAGAGCAGCGCAGGACCAAGCCAGAACATATAACCTGAGGAAACGCGAATGGAAGCCGAAAAAGGGGGACATGGTGTGGGTTCGACAACACCCACTGTCAAAAGCTTACATCAAGTTTTCAGCCAAGCTCGCACCGAAGTTTGAGGGTCCATTCAGGGTCGTAAAACTAGAGTCACCAGTAATAGCGGTAGTAAAAGAGGTAGGGTCGGGCAAGACACAAAGAGCATATGTAAATAACATGAAGAAATACTTAGGAGAACAGGGAATAGCACTCGACAACACCGAACCTAATAACACAAATACACTCACACAGGAACACTAGCACAATGGTCAAATTCAATAACGGGTCAACCCAGCTAGATTGGCAGGAGAAGTCATCAGAACCACCTCGAAAATTTAAACTGGCAAAGGAGGGGGAGTGCGACGACCCACGTCGCAACAACAAATATAATCCATAAGTAGAATTAAGCTTTCAAATAAGATTAAGAATAGTAGTGGCAACGCCGGCCAAGGAATAGCGCGTCCAGCCCTGAACAGCTGACGATAATCGAATGGATACGATCGATCTGGCAACGCCCTGCCTATCGGCCATCGGGGAATTATCGATTATCGATCGGGGGAGAACAGCTGTCGACCGGCTATATAAAGCGACGCACCGGCCAGTGCAACTTCACTTTTGCAGAGCAGCCGAGCAGTCAACTGGTGAGTTAACAAGTAGTACTAATCCTAGCTTTAGCAGTAGAATAAGGTTTGGCCCTGGCGGCGGACCTTAATAGAAAAGAAGGTAGGAAAGGTGAAGGTAGCGTTAGGTCTAGATCTGGCCCCCTGCAGGCGGATCTAACGAAGTAGCTGGGAGGAGCGGAGTTTGGCCCTAGTTGGCGGACTTCGCACAGATAGTCAGCCGTGGGACGAGGTCGGGCCCTTGCATGGCAGATCTCGCGGAAACAGGGTATCGAGCGCGGTCCGTATGACCTCGCCGTACAGGTAGTATAGACTTGGGGTTCTGACCTGGCCCTTGGATGGCAGATCAGGAATAGGGGAGGGCGTCGAATGAGGTTCGCCACATTCGCCAAGCAAGCATAGGAAGGGAGAAGATCTGGCCCTTGCCGGCGGATCTTGATAGCTACAGGGTAGCAGAAAGGCGTTAGGGACGGTGCGAGCTTAGGCACAACGATCGCTCACCTCGAGTGACGTCACCCGGACCCACCTACCGTGACCACGACAGCGGCCAGCCGCAACGGTCACGCACCCTAGTCGCATCGCCCGAACAGGGTATTCACAAGCCGACTACGAGACAGTCGCATCGCCCGGACAGGGTATTTACAAGCCGACAACGATACAGTCGCGTCGCCCGAACAGGGTATTTACAAGCCGACTACGATACAGTCGCATCGCCCGAACAGGGTATTCACAAGCCGACTACGAGACAGTCGCATCGCCCGGACAGGGTATTCACAAGCCGACTACGAGACAGTCGCATCGCCCGGACAGGGTATTTACAAGCCGACTACGATACAGTCGCATCGCCCGAACAGGGTATTCACAAGCCGACTACGAGACAGTCGCATCGCCCGGACAGGGTATTTACAAGCCGACAACGATACAGTCGCATCGCCCGAACAGGGTATTCACAAGCCGACTACGAGACAGTCGCATCACCCGAACAGGGTACTCACAAGCCGATCACCGACGATCGCATCACCGATACAGGGTATCGCCACGCCGACAATCAGCAGTCGCATCGCCCGAGCAGGGTAACAACAAGTCGACCCACTGGACCCTAGTCGCAGTGTCGCATCACCCACCACCGGGTATCATCGTCAGCCAGCCGGCTGATCACCATCGAAGACCGGGACACGGATCTACCCGCAACCAGGGTATCAACAAGACATCCCCACAGCAGCAACCACACTGTATTCTTTCCACAGGTTTCACTATATATCTTGATCAATAAAGCTTGTATTAAAATTACCTCTCTCCTCTTGCCTATTTACTGATTATTGGGACACGAGGGACTCGGACACTACAAATTTTCTGTACGAACCCCGACTCCGGCGAGCTAGGCCGAGCACCCCAAAAGAGGGTCGTTACAACCTTTTAAACCGAGTGCATTCGTGCCAACGCGTTATCCAGCGTCCCCATATCAATTGGAAATCGATAGCATTTGTTCGATTAATTTGTTCTACGCGTTATCCAGCGCCCCCATATCCTTTAAACCGAGTTCATCCGTGCCAACGCGTCATCCAGCGTCCCCGTATTAATTGAGTATCGATAGCATTTTTTTTTCCATTAATTTCTTCTACGCGTTATTCAGCGCCCCCATATCTTTTAAATCGAAGACATCCGTGTTAACGCGCCATCCAGCGCCCCCTTATCCTTCAAATCTATAACCATTTTGAACGCTTTATCCAGCGTCCCTGTATTGATTTAAAATTGATAACCATAAATTTTGAACGCTTTATCCAGCGTCCCCGTACTAATTTGAAATCGATAACATTTTTTCGATTAACTCTGGTTTTTTTTGCGCTTATCCAGCGGCCCCTCTCCGAACCACGTCAAAGTCGATAGACTACCTCACACACTTACATTTTCCGGCTCCTACGAGAGCTTCATATGCCAATTGGTGACGGTGAGGAACCAAAATCCCTTTTGACCGTTTATAAGGCAAAAGAGTCTCACAGAGTCAGGGCAAAGAGTGAATCTTCTGTGCCTTCCAAAAGCGAAAATCCCTCTCGAAGCAAAAGCCCATTGACAACCGCAACTCCACTAAAATCTAGGAGCACGTCGCTTGAAGTTCCACGGTCTGTACCATCCACAAAAGCCGCAAAGTCAGTCGTATCTCTCCACTTCACTAGAGCAAGTGGCAGAATGGCTCAAGCTGAGGGAGACAAGGCTTTGAGGAAATTCCTGACCATAGCCGATAGGGTGGGTCAGTTTGAAGCCAGAATCAGTACCAATGCGGACACAAATCCGTCCATCCACACGAGTAGGGTTCGACTCGAGCAGATCAGGGCCCTCTGGGACAAGGTGGAAAAGGAATATGAGACGTGTTCCGAAGTTGTGGCCAGTCAAAACTGCAAAGACACAATGCAATGCAAGTATGACGACTGTTATACCGTTTACGAGCGGTGCGCAGCAAGCCTCAATGAGATCATTGAAGATTCACGCGCACAACAGTCTGTTCAGTCCTCCAATCTGACGCCGTCTCAGGGCGGATGTCGCTTACCTCCAGTCGAGTGCGAAGTTTTCAATGGTGACTATGTTCAATGGCCCACATTTCGGGACCTTTTCTCCGCCATCTATATACGCAATCCTCGGCTTTCAGAAGTCGAAAAACTGTTCCATCTCAATGCAAAGACGAGCGGCGAGGCCAAATCCATTGTGGCCTTATCTCCGTTGACCAATAATGGTTTTGAGTCAGCGTGGAGAAACTTGCAGAATCGGTTCGAGAACAAGAGGCTGCTGGTCAATAGCCAATTAAAGATCTTGTTTAATTTGCCCAGGAATGCGGAAAATCCTTGATGCATTTAGAGAGCACAATCCAAGGTTGTTTAACGGCCCTGCAATTAGCAAGAGTCGAGACCACGAATTGGGATTGCCTGCTTGTGTTCCTGTGCTCGTCCAAGTTGCCAAAACTAACTTTGGCTCTTTGGGAACAGTCCCTGCTAAGTAAGTCAGAGATTCCACTCTGGGCTGAATTCCAGGCCTTCTTAAAAGATCGTCATCGAACGCTTGAGGCGATTGAGGAGTTCAAGCCAAACGCGAGCGTTCAATCCAGGGCACTGTGGGCTGACAATAGCTCGCGGTCAATCCAGACCTTTGTGAACAGAGTTACGGTAAACCCGCAATCCTGTAAACTCTGCGCACAGGAGAACTATCCAATCCGAGTATATCCTCTATTCTTACGCATGTCAGTCGCAGATCGAGAGAAACATGTAAAACAGCAGAAGTTGTGCTTGAACTGCTTCGCAAGAACGCATCTGCTCCGGGACTGCAACAGCACGCATAATTGCTACACCTGCAGTGGACGTCACAATACTCTCCTGCATCGAAGCGGCCCTCCGCCAGTCCATTCAGTGGTTATGCCTGACCAACAGTCCCATCCATCCACAGCAATCCAGCAACATATACAGTCCACTCCATCGACGAGTCAAGCGAATGTGGAAACGTTTCTTGCCGTTAACACGCAAGGGGTCCTACTGAGTACGGCATTGATAGAAGTTTGCCATTTGGGCGTAAAATACTCAGCACGGGCTCTCATTGACTCAGGTTCCGAGGCAACCTTTATCTCAGAACGGTTGTTCAACCTGATTAAGTTGCCTTATGAGTCCATCCAAGCGCAAGTTTCAGGGGTCAACCTTTCCGTTGCAGCTCAGCCCCGTAAGCGTTGTCAATTCAACATAGGTTCTCCCGTCAAGCCCCATATCCAAATTGAAACCTGTGCGTATGTGCTACCACAGTTAGCCGGGAATCTCCCATCCTACACTATACCAGAGGATTCATTAAAGGATCTTCCACCTCTGCAACTAGCAGATCCAGATTTCTACCGGAGCTCGCCGATTGACGTGCTTATTGGTGCCGATATCCTGCCATCAATCATCAGGCTCCCATTCCAATATTTGTGGAACACTCCTTGGTCAAGAGACCATATTCGGGTGGACTCTATGCGGTCCTATTGCAACGAGTCCCATAAGCAGAATCTGTTCTTTTTCAGCCCGATTAGCAGTGACCGAGTCCAAACCAGACAGCATCCTCACCAAATTTGGGGAGGTGGAGGATGTTCCAGTGAAGTTAGTAAAGGAATCCACCTCGGTTTGCGAGGAGAACTTTATCCGATCCACCAAAAGAAGTGAGGATGGAAGATATTTTGTTTCGTTGCCCTTTAAAGAGCCGGACAATATTAAGCTGGGACATTCCAGACCCATCGCACTAGCTCAGTACCTCCGAAACGAAATGCGATTGAGTAAAATACTTCCAGTGGAGGAGCAGTGCGACTCAGTCATTCAAAAGTATTCAGATTTAGGTCATATGCACCAAGTCTCTCCAAACGACTCCAGCAGTTTTCATTACGCTGTCTTTAAACCAGATAGCACCACGACGAAGGTTCGCGTCGTGTTCAACGCTTCCAATCCCTCATCAAACGGGAACAGCCTCAATGATATCCTTCATGCGGGGCCTGTACTACACTCCGATCTGACTAGTCAGATTCTAAAATGGGTTTTTTTAAACTATGTGTTTAGGGCGGACATCACCAAGATGTACCGGCAAATTCGGGCAGTCACCTTCGGCGTAAACTGTGCGCCCTTCCTGGCCATCAGAGTGTTACAGCTGTTGGCTCAGGACATCCGAGGCCAATATCCTTTGGCCAGCGACATCATCTCGAACTCTACGTACATCGACGATGTGCTCGCAGGGGCTCACACTCAGCAGTCGGCGATAACTGCCTACACCAAACGAGAGGTCTTATCTCAGATAGCCAAGCTTTTCGACCTAGGCTGGGATCAACCACTCCCCACCGACCTCGTAACCCAGTGGCAAGAGTTCGTAAAAGGGTATCCAATTCTGAGGGAAATTCGTAGTCCGAGATGGGTGTGTTTCCGTCACAGGACGCGTATGGGGCTGCCATTTTCGTCCGAGTCGAAACGACTGACGGCTGTTGTACCCATCGGCTGACATCCAAAGCCAGAGTTGCTCTAGTCAGGTCCATATCCATACCCCGCCTGGAGCGTTTTTTTTCCACCTTCGACAGCCACAACACGGGGCGTCATCCGACGACCAGCTGCGAAAATTATTCGCCTCCCAATGGACGGCCCCATTGACCATAGTGACTCCTCAATAGATTAGTCCTTCCAATTGACATTTACTAGTCCTAAGTTGTGTCATCCAACGTCGTCGTTCCGTCCACGTGTCTTGTTCATCCTCTTCCATAACACTTCATTTTCATATTTATCCATCTCTCTGTTTTAACGTAGATCCGTGTATACAATGGCTCAAACGACCCACCGAAATCCTCGTCGCTCATCCGGGAGCAATGTATACAGATGTCGAGTCTGCAGGGGAGGCCACGCTCTGAGGGTTTGCCAACGGTTTCTCCAACTGCCGGCTATGAAGCGGCTCCGCGCGGTACTAATTAACCAGTACTGCGCGAACAGTGTCGGCAAGGAGGCTCATCACACGCTGCTGCACCTCCACACTGGGCAGCCTCGCTCTTCGCGGCCCCGACAAAGGCGCAACCCACCCTCGGATTCTCGGCATCAGCGGCAGCCACAGCAGCGCCAGCAGGCGCCTGTATCCGGACCTCGGCGGCCCGCTACGCCAATGGATATGTCTCCATCCCGCAACCGGTCGTGCACGCCTATCCTGGCGCGCACGAGTGTTAGCATCCTCTCCGGACGGTGTTCCCTTTCGTAGATCGCAAGTATTCCTCTTGCGAGGGGGGGAGAATGTTCATGCTGAACAATGGGGCAAAATCGCCATGGGAGCATCACTGAGAACAAATGTACCTGTCGCCATGTTAATTGTACTTTTGCTTTGGCACTCTGAAAATAAAACTCCAAGAAGACGGATCACTTTTTTTCTACTGCGAATCATCACATCAATGAAATGAACACTTAATATAATACGCGAAGGCTATCGGTATATGCATTACTATTTGCGTCTTCTCATTTACATCTATTGTTGTGGGCTCGAGTATACACTGGAAGTAGGCATACACAGCAAAGGATACCTCCATCTGGCGGTGAATATGGTCGAATTTTATCACCTCTCCTTCCTTGGGTGCTTCGCTCACAATGTTGGTGCATCTTTCCGCATGGCGCTGAGCTCTGGCCTCATTTGTTGAGTAGGAGAGGCACTTGTTGCAGAACCAACGGCGATTACCGTTTTTGCCAATTGTGATGAAAGAAGTCTGTAAAAATAAAAATGTATATATTCCTAATTGCAGACTTGAGGTCATTTTATAAAAATCAAAGACTCGGCTTTAGCTAAAAACAACAAAAAGACAAGTTCTTTTTGCTATGACCTCAAGTCTGCAATTACGAATGCTAAAACTTAGCAGTATTTCCGTAATTAAAGTTAATAGAATAATAAAAATTAAGAATTGTTGCATACAATTGGAAAAAATTAGTCGTTAGTTAATATCAGCAATATTTAAATACAATTTATACAACACATCATTTATAAAATAAATATATATTTTTTGATAAAACAATGTCTATATAGATAGTTAATAAAAGGTGTTTAGAAGTTTTAAAATTATGTTTGTTTGTTGTTGGTTTTTATCACAATTGTTTTATCAAAAAATATATTTATTTTATAAATGATGTGTTGTATAAATTGTATTTAAATATTTATATAAATTAAATGTGCATTTAAAGAAATTGTTTTTCTGTCGTTACCCTGCACACTAAGGAATATTCTCTCGAAAATCTTAGAGAAGGTGGGTAGTAAGCTTATCGGTCGGTATGACTCAAGCTTAAGATATTTAGGTATCAGGTGGAGTAACGTAGAATGTTAGCATCTCTGCAAATGTAGTTAAGAGTAAAGAAATATTCATTGATTCTTGTTTTGAATTCATTTGCGTTTATAAAATTAACAATATTGTTAAGCATTATGTTGATATGGCAACTTAAAAACTCGTCGGAGGAAGGTTAGGGTATCTCCAGTAATTGTTTCGGTTTGAAGACCATGATTGAGTAGAGTACAGACAGCAATTTTCTAGCAATTTATTTGCAGTTTGTTCTGTTTGGCCATTTTGAGTTCAGGGAGTGAAGCTAAAGTGCCTAGTTTCAGAAGGATTCCTATAAATTATAAGTTATGTAAAGGAGGTAAGGAAATGGCAAAAACCCACCTCAAACGACCTAGACCTACGGCACAAGATGATTCCGGATATACTGTGAATACCCTTTATGCATTCACGTTAAGTAATACGTATAAATGTCGGCCAACTTGGTCTCTATCTCCTCCTACTTCTCTGCCCACCTCTCTAAACTTCTTCGCCTGCTTGTCAAAGGATGTCGCTCTCGCCTTTCCTGGAGCGTCCCTAGCCCTCTTTGCATTGCCTTCGGGGCAGGACCGCCCCTGGGTTGGTCTTCTGATACGCTTCAATATCCGCAATCTCTGCAAGGAATTTCATTTTGTTAAAAGCGGCTCTCGGGTCCGCCTTGCCCTCAGCCTTATTCTCAGCCATCTTGCTGAGAATGAAATGGTTTTATGTGTTCTATGTCTTTTTTTTTTAATACGAGAGCGGCTAGTTTTTGCCGCCTTTGGTCATCTTCTTCCGATATCGGTTGAAATTCTAAGCCTTCATAGTATATATTCAAGGGTTGCCTATGTAGAAGGTCTGGTGCATCCGATGAAGGTCCAAGTTCTTGAACTTCTGAGTTTGATTGGTTCTCTTGGAAAGAAAGTTTTCCCTTTCACTATGAGTTTTATTATTACTTTATGTGTACAAAACTGTTCTAATTTTAGTCAGAAGTTTGCCACGCAGTGAAGGAGACATTTTCGACCCTATAAAGTATATATATTCTTGATCATCATCAACAGCCGAGTCGATCTAGCCATGACCGTCTGTCCGTCCGTCTGTCCGTCTGTCCGTTTCTACGCAAAGTAAACTGTAACTGTCAAACTGTGAAATGCTATGTATAAATATACAACTTTTATATATTTCCTTTTATTTTTTCCTATTAATTTAACTAGAATGGCTGGATTCTTAATGGTCCAATTGCAAACTGGAAGGGTATACAAACTGCGGAGTGCTTCCTTTCTTGTTATTTTTATTTCTAAATGTTGGGTTATCTGGACAAATCGGATTTATCTTTGGTATCTTTGGCATCTATTTTTATAAATTCAAAACCTTTAAGGGGGTCTTCTCATTCAAAGCCGTTTTTTGGACCCTTTTTAAAAAAATTCTTACTTAAAAACGCAAAGAATAATTGAAAGATTTTTTTATTTATTGTATTCAAAAATGTTCAAAGTAACTAAAAAAGTTGTTCTTGCCTCGATACGAGGGTTGACCAAAGAGTAATGAGACTTCAAACTTGGTGGTCGAAAAAAAGGTGTCGTCCTGGCGGCCACGGTTCAGGGTCTCCAGAGCGTCCGAAATGAAAAATAAGAACGGGGTTATAGATGTCATTTTCGGCTGACGGAACAGATTTTTTTTTTAATTTTTAAAACAAAATGGCGGCCATTCAAAAAAAAAAAATCGATTTCGGGCGTTTTTTTTTTGTAGTTTAGTGTAAAAAAAAAATAGAAAAAAAATTCTTTTTTAAATCTGTTCCGTCAGCCGAAAATGGTGACAGTTCTGCGTCGATTCCACTTTGTTTCATGAAAATCGGTTCAGTTGAACTGGAGATATCATGGCCGCCAGTTCGAAAAACGTGGTTTCGAGATAAACGCGTTTGAAGTTTGAAAAAAGCTCATTTTGCGAAGACCTTGCTTCACAAAAAAGGCTGTATCTTCTAAAGTATTTCGAATTTCTAAAAATCCTTTTGGGGACATATACAGACATTCCCAAGCTATGAATAAATGCAAAAAAAAAAAATCGAAAAAAAAATTTCCCAATGAGAAGACCCCCTTAAACAGTTATTTTTAAAAGAAATACTATTGAAAACCATTCCTATGCGTGTAACCTTGTAGCTTGTTGATATTAATCTTTCAAGACACTAAGGCAGGTTTTTTTTTTCTTAATATAAAATCTATATTTCTTTCCCCCATTTATGTACGTTTATGATTCTATGCGAATCTTTTTTGAGAAGTATTTTGCTTGATTTGAATTTGCAAGAATTAAAATATGAATTTTCTTACTCAAATTATGTGTTCGCCTCTTCTCTTTTTTTCTTGTATATTCTAATGTATATTTTTATATAATTTGGTATTATTGTACGATTAATAAGTGTGGCAGCCTGAAGATCCCAGATCGGTATAAGCAACGAACTGGAGCGAAGGGAATTGTCAATCTAAGACTCAGGAAATCGAATGAACTCAAGATATTACTGTTGGAAGTATGGACCCAAACAATCACCTTATTTTCGCGACCTTATCTTAAGATTTCTATCCTCACTTGTGCAATTCAACTATGTCTTACCACGAGGTGAGTCGTGTTAATAGTGCGTAATATATTTCAAATATAAATTCTATGTTTGCAGCTACTATACGCTGATGGTTTGGTTCCCAGAAATATTTCAAAGGTTTAATGCTTACGAGGAAGCATATCCTGGAACACCAGCATCTATATGTGATGTTTCTCCTATTATAACATCAAATTTGTAAGTAATCCAAATGCTACATTATTCATTGATATTTTAATATTCCTCTTCTTTGCATTTATACAAATTAACCATACAGCAGTTCACAGGTTGTATATTATATTTGTACATACTGTCTTTTACAATGCCAATAATATTTAGTTCAAAATTAAGGGTTCTGTTTATAATTAAAATATATGATGTCTTTTCGGTTGAACCTTTTTTTACATCTTGTCTTACAAAATAAAATAACATTGAAATATTATACATATATCGTCTATCACTTTAATAACGAAGAAATCTTTTGAATGCCTGTTTATAAACCACCATGATTTCGCTTAAATTGCCACTGAACTATTTTTATACTTATTCTGTTAACTACCGCTCATGCATATGCATTTCTTGTGAATTAATTCATTTTAGTTTTCTGCTATTACGGGTTTCTTTCAATTTTTGTGTCGGTCCCTTTTTTCAACGGTCAATCTTTGTTGGTTATAGTTAAGGGGGGCATATACATGTAAACGGTCAAAATTTAGGAAATTTTCGTGAATTTTTTAATGTAGGAAGTAGTCAAGCAATCTTCGTGAAACTTTGGAGATTGTTAAAAGTAGAATCGGAGATGATAAAATAATTTTGTTATAAAACATATTTTACAAAATGGCGGACGTATGGAAAATATGCCGCAGCGCCTCGAGATTTGAATTTTCCGGCTATGGACACGATAGAGCACGTAATTTATATAGAAAATCCTCAAACACAAATTTTTTGTATTCTTAACACCTTTACCTTCTATTTGAACCTAAAAAACCAAAAAGAAATTATGACAATAAAATTAAATTCAGTTTTGAAGGAAAAATGCTATTTTCAGGGAATCAGATTTCATTTCCCAC